ACAATTGTTTCAAGTTTAGAAGTTCACAATGTAAATGAAATATAAAATCATTACATTCTATTGACGTTCAGTAGATGAAGCATACTCTTTTGATGCTCATTATCGTTATTTATATTTTGATTTAATAAAAGCAAATAAATTAGATATATTACATCTTATACTAAAAGACTAAAGAACGTTTGTAGTAATTATTTATCAATTATCTTAAATCATTTCAAAGCATAGTAACTGATTACAGTAAGTTAAATATCATTTTCACAACTAGTTATGTTCGAAAATTGAAGTGGAAACAGGCTTAAGTTAGTTCACTAGTCATCTAACTTTAATATATTGTAGTAAACATGGATAATTATTTCGACGTTAATAGTCTAATGGAAATATATTGGTGAGAAGTTTGTCACATATACTAATAATATCTAAGTAAACACTTTGTCTGAAAGCACAATTATAAATCTTATACTGCTTTTGAATATTTTTACTTTAGAAGAAAAATTTAATTTCATTGCCTGATATTTATTATATAACACTTATTAGAAAAAGAAGACACTGCATAGAAATGATAAAAAGGAAGTGGTTACAGCACTCATTGTATTCAGCCAAACATAGCATATAGTACACATTTGTATATTTTACATTCTGACAAATTCTATCGAAATCTACCAATATGATCTATTTCTATTTTACTTCGAAGACAGTATGATCTAATTTTTGACCCTTTTATTGTAATTTTCTGTGTTTTTGACGTGAATTACAGAGACTTGGAGACATACTATTTCAGCACAGATTACTAAATACTCATCTAATAAGCTCTAATAACTTAAAATATCTTTCTTTTTCATTGAAAAAAAGTGTTACCTTAATGAGCATCGAAGATTAACGATAGAATGTTTTGTAATAAACAAATAAATCAATAGTTGAGATCATGAGTCAGTTGAAGCTAGACCACCATGGGAAACCTGGAAGCACTGGGTGGACGTTTCGTCCTGCCGTGGGACTCCACAGCAGTGCACATCCACGACCTCACCCCGTGGGATTCGAAACCTGGACCCATCAGACTCGCGCGCGAGCACTTAACCACTAGACCACTGAGCTGGCCGGCACCCAACGGTGTTAATGTCAAACTTAAAATATATCTTATATATTCGCTTTATGTTATTTAAAGAATAAACTTATTCAAATTTTCTTTTCGACGGATCATACGATTCAAAATTTACAATACATATAGACGGTTATGCTTAACAAAGTGCTTGCGTTTTTTCCTAAATTGCAATTCTAGTATCAGTTTTTTTAATCCTCTGTTTGTAGTTGTTTAATGAATTTCAGTTCCCGTGATTAGTTGATAGTGCATTTAAACAGAGGGTTATAGTGTAAAAAGATATGTTACCAATCAAATCTTTATTACTTCATCGTTTGATAAAACCCATCAATCATATAACTGATCAGAATTTTGTTTACCATATATTTCGTCCAGTGTTACGTACAAATGAAACATTTTTGTGTTCTCTATGGCTTTTACTGTAGACGTTTTATTGTTTTGAAAAAAAGGAAATACCCACCGTTATTTAGCAGGTAAAATAAAACAGAATTACCACTCTTTTTTGCATCAGTGAGTAGTATCTAAAATAGGGTGAAATATATTTTGTTTCTTTTTTTATCAAAAAACATAGTTGATAATTACTTCATAGGAGCATTATTTTGTTTCATGCAACAAAACATTTCAGATTTGTTTAAATAATCCCACTTGTTTTCTGTGAGAAATAAAATCGTTCTGTGAAGCGTAACATTGAGCTCTATATTTTGGTATTAATAATAATCAGAACAGTAATAATCGTGTTTAACTAATCCTTTCATCTGGTATGTTTTAATGATTACTTTTTTTAGAAATAAATTATATTAGGAAAAGCGAAAAGGTGTTCAAAGTCTAATTTCTGACTAAGAGAGTTATGGCTAATGTTTACTTGTGTGAAAAAATATATCATTACAGTTCCATATATCACGCAATCAGTCAGGCAAAAAAATCCATTTTGTATTATAAAACCTACACTAGTACTCATTAGTTTGAAATTGACCAGTTCAACGCCTAAACATTGCTTATTACATTACTGACTCTTAAAACTACAAGGATTTAAAACAGCAGTAATAACTGAATAAATGGGATATTTGCCACTGTTCCTTGACTTCTCACTGTAATTAACCCGGTCCAAACCAACGTCAGCCATGACTCAAGTAACTTGTTAGTAACTTTTGTGGATGTCACTTCTAAATACCCAGTATATTTGAATATATAATGATCGTCAACCATGACGTAACAAGTAAACTTATCGTTCCCAAATCAAGGTATGTTACTTTGACTAAAAACTCCTTCAATATTTATCCACCACTAAGTGTACGGTATTATTTTCATAAATCTTTCGAAAAATAATCAGTGATCCCGATAAATATATCAGTTCTATTCACGATTCGCATTGATCTTTCGATTTGGACATGTGGCTGTCGTCGCCTATTCATTTAATAATCGTTCAAGTCATCAGTTTAATGTCATTTATTAAGACATTTCAATACTTTTTAAATTGATTATAATGACATGAACATGTATTTAGGTAAGAAAATTAATTAATGTCCCAAAAGGCACTTGAAGTTATAAGAATGTTTACTTTAAATTGTCTTTAAAATTTCCTATTTTTTTCATGTTATTACGGTTGACGGTTGTAAATCGAAACATTTAATCACTGCATAGCATTTGAGAATCAACACAATAAGTCACTATTGCTACTAATAATCGATAGAATTACTCTATTTCATAACACATTTACTGTCAAAATTAATGTTCACAAGATCTTTTTATGTAATTAAATGGTTTTATAATAAATAAAAATAAATTTTTCACTAATTAAGTTTAATATGCTTCAATCGAAGACAAACATTGAATGTACAAATTCAATAAATGGAAATATTTGTACTGTTATTTTCTACGTACGTGAATTTTATGAAAAGTAAAAGGTTTACCATATAAAGTTTTGATATTCATAATAATAAATAATCAAGAATAATTTATTACTGGACGAATCAGTATTTCGTTTAGAATGATCTAATGATTATTTCTTTCAAAAAGCTTATTCAAATAAAGATTAAATAGTTGAAATAAAAAAGAAACACCGCTACAACATGTTATGTTAGATCAATACAGAATATTATAAATTCCACTTACCGTTCAATGTGTCTTACAAAGAAAATTCAATATTCAAGTGTCAGTGTACATTGATCAGACAATTGGTTACAGAATATAAATCACGTATTTTTTTTCTTTTCAGATAGTTACAAAAAAATTTTTTTTCAAAGGTAATAAAAACTTGATTTAATAAATTCCATTAGCCAGTGATGAAACAACCAAATAATTGGAATAATTTCGTTTTCTTTTCAATTTTTATTTGAACAATCTTCTTGAAATTCTCAAGCTTGAAAGTGTAATTATGTAAATTTTTTTTCTGATTTCTAGGTATCGTTGAGTTTATTATTTTGTTTCTTTGTTTACTTTATCTGATCTTAATAATCATTAAATCGAAGTTTTTGAAGAAAATAAACCAGGAAGTTTAGGAGGGGATTATTATTTGTGTATAAGCTTTATATTAATACTAAGTGTTTGGTTACATTTTATTTAAATTCAGGGTTAATATTAAGATATTTTTTATGACACCATTCTTTGACCAAGAATTATCCCCTAATCATATGTATCGTTATGTTACGTTATAACATGTTTACACTGAGCGATTCACTGCTCTTCTATTCTAATAAATAAAACAATTCACATGACTGATAAATAAAGTTACAGTACATATTTTCACATATGCAATTTAAGAGAAAATATATATCTAGTTGACAATGGTTAATATATACTGGAATGAATTCTTTTGAATCTCTATGGATCATTCAAAATTATTAGTTGTATATTCACTGTTTACAATATCGCCTTGGTCTCGACATTTTGAAGTTGACAACTTAACTTATTTTTTTCACTAAATAGGTTCATGTCATTAACTGTAAAGAAGTCATTTATTTCTAAATAAAATGGATCGTAATCTACTTTTTATATTATTAGAAATCTGATATAAATTTTCAAAGGATTATAGTTTAATATCGAGACTTCAAAACGACATTCAATTAATCATGTGTCATTTCAGGATGGGAAGCTAATTGAAGATGTAGAAACTTCCTTAAAAAGTTCAAAACAAGAAGCTAGTAGACAATAAAATAAGAAAAATATTAAGTTTCTTTGTATTTAATAGAAGTTTATACTTTTATTGAATTTTTTTACTTGGGAAAAACCCAGTGTTATAAGTACAGACATCTAATAGACAGAACATTTCTAAGCAACTTACCCAGCTATCGGTTCAACAGTTTGTTGATCAATACATAAATTTTGCATTTTGTTACAATCAAACATTGTAATCCAAAGCATTTAAGGTTTATTCACAATAAAACAAAAGTAAACCTCACAAAAAAAGTAGGTAACAAATGAAGTTGTGTTTATTGAAGATGTAAACTAATAGAATTGTAATACAATATAATCTAAGCAAACGTTTTGCCATTACCGGGTTTTTGTTTGAGGTCAATGTAATGCCTAACTAGTTTACTTTCCAATATGTCGTTAAAAATGAAATCAAGATTACTTAAGTAAAATTCACATATCAACTAATATACCTTTAACAATTCATTTAAATGATATGAATCCCATTTGATGGAAAGGTTACCTTATTAATCTATGTTAATTGAAATCATGACTCCGGAATTTAAGTTGATACGTCTTCAAGCATTTCAATGGACAAACATAATTAATGCCTAAGAAACTGAGCCATTTTAAAATGTGCTTCTTAACATATAAAATATGACATTCTGAAATGTATATTACAAATAAAAAACTTAACTTTATCTTCATAATACCTATTTTTATGTTTTTGTAGAATTTTAAATTTAATTTTACTAAAAAATTTTATATTTTGCAGAATACTTATTAAACAAATACAGTGAATTACCTGGAGAAATTATAACATTCGAATTACCTTTGAGCACTTTGACTGTCGAAGCATCTCATCATAAAAATGTGAATTTAGGTTTAAAACTTGCCGGAAGTAAAGATTTAAATCAAATGAGTGTTTTCGTATGTGGAATACAACCAGGAAGTATCATTGAACGTGACGGACATATAGAAGTTGGCGATCAATTATTAGAAGTAAGTGATAATAAATTTAGAATATTTGTACTTTTGTTATTAACATATATTCAAGACGAATATCGGTATCCACATTGTGTTTTGCATGAAAATATTAACTAATAGCAAATGTGCGCAGTCAGTTTAATGACAATCACCTATTCATTAAGTAGACTGATGATAAGTAATTTACATATATATAGAATGTTTCTATATCTAATTAATATTAAGCTTACATTTTGTCACCACAACACTTGCATAACTTGTATCTATTGACTATACTAAACACCTAGTAAATTTTTGGGTAAAGCAATTTACACAAGTGTTAATCGGGTCGAGTCCCAGCAATTCAGAGACGAACTGAAACGTAGAGTACAAAAAATAAAATTTTCAAGGCTCTTTTCCTCATAAATCTTTTTAATCTTTCTCTCTCTCTACAAAACTCTGTCAACGGTGGAACTGTACTTGAGTAAAAAGAGTTTTGAATTTTTCAATTTTAAGTGGAAACAATTTGAATCAAACATTGGGTTAAACGTTAATCCCTATATCATGAAAGATTTATCAAACAACCTTGAACTTTTCCAATATTCTCAATACAATATTATTACATAAAGTTAATCGATAAAAAAAATGAAAGAGATTCGGAGTATCTATGGCATGAGTGGTTTTATTTTGTAAATTTCAATATTCATCGAATGATGGTTTTGAACACTTCAATTTAAGGTAATACGTTGATATCCACTGAGTTACAACGGATAACATACAGTTAAATCATCATATGAAGATATTGAAATCTCAACAAGACAAATCTGTGTTACAGATAAACAATCTTAGTTTGAAAAGTATATGATTTATTCTGAATTCTTACCCATGGCTTGTATGTGAAATAAATCACTCATGAAATGTATGCAGACTTACCATAGATCATAATTAAAATAAACGGTTGTTTAAACTTGCGACTTAAGGCAATATCAAGGCGATCCGCACAGGATGCACATATGCTATCATGAGACTGATCAATTTCAGTCCTAAATAACAATGGGAATATACAAATAAAACAACACCAAGTGAATTAAACCGTTGTTGGTTATTCATGTCAAACATTTTCATCAATTTTTGTTGAATATGAATCTAGCGAGTTGGAATCTTGGATGCGCACTACTGAGTAATCCTATAGTAGGACGAAACAGTCGTCAAGTGCTTCCAGGTTTTCCGTGTTAGTCTAATATCAATCGGTTCATGATCTCAATCAAAAAATGTTTTTCATTGATAATAAATAACTTTTAACATTCTTTTTGGTCAAGCGTTTTTATTTGTTTATGTATTTTAATTTAATAAAAATTTTAAAATTATTTGACAAACTAATTAACATTATCATCATTATACATAAACGAATACAAGATTATTATGTAAACATTGAAAATTACTTCAACCTGAAATGACAAGTAAAAGGGTGAAAAGAAGAAGTTTCTTAATAAGTAAACACATTTAGAATTTTACTGAAAAAGAAATTCTTTACATAAAGTAAAAAGGTAAACAAATGTTATAACATAAAACTTGATATACTTAAAAAAATGAAAAACAAAAATACTTTTAACAAGTATAACTGTAGAATTAAAGTTGATTAGTTATAACACACTGAGATATTAAATTGAATGAATATTACTAATTTAGTTGATTTGAATATACTGTACAAAAGATCTCAATCCTCTAGTCAATATGTATCAGCCTATCAAGCTTCAATTAATGATCAACATGAATGACCTCCTATTGTGCTGAGAATCTAGTTTATTTCTCTCATAAATTTTAACACTATAATTCCAACATATGCAATAGGTTTATGCGCAATATACAGATATTCTTGGAACTAAACTTTATTCTACATGAGGTTACTTATAATTAAAATACCTGACGATAACTTTCTTTTTCCTGGATAATATATTTTAATAAAATAAATAAGGTAATATACTTATGATATACATTAACAGTATTCTCAAACTTGTCTATTGTTATATCCCGATGAGAATAATGAATGGTAACAGTTAAAATCTATTTTCGGAATAATACTCTACGTATATTTTGATTGTGTAATTTTTAAATAACTAAACCATTCATATTCGTGTTCCTCTTATCATAAGCTTTATTTTGACCTATGAACAGTTATTATACGATTTACCATTCTTGACTTATGCTTAGTCTATCGATTACTATCTCCCACATTCATAGCCACTTTTGGCTAAATCTTGTACAAATAATATTTTCTATTTTGTGGTACTATGTTATCTGTTTGGTTTGTATATAAACCTAGTATGTTTGAAATATACGATTCATATCGCGGAGGCTGAGATTGGTGTTTTGGACTTAACAGGGATGACTCGGCAGGAAGCAAGACCGATAAGGACTCTAGACTGCTCGTACGGGTTTTATGCGTCATTGGTCCGGTCGATAATTCACTGTTTTCTGATTGAGGGTATCATTACATTATACATTGATAGGGGCACAGACACACAAGTTATAACATCTATCAAAACTATTATTCTCACTACATAACCCAGTGAATTGAAATGGTACATTTACTTGGATTCACTGTTCAGTAGACAAGATGAAGTAAATGATGAACACTATCAATCAGACGAACAATTTGGAAATAAATTCCTATATTTCGTAGACACGTACGGATTTCCTAACTGGATAACGGAAATAAATGTTAGGGACTACAGTCAATAAACTTAAAATCATATAAAATATTAGCAAAATATCTTAGATTTCTGATACTTATCATGTTTGAAGGTATTTCTTTCTATTTCAGTTAGGAATCATATTGACTTGATAAATACTTGAAATTTCTGAAAATAAGATTACACAATTATTAAATTAGAGATAAATAATTCTATTCCACGATAAATAACAATTAGTTCACTTTATTTAATACATTATGCACAAGTTAATTGAAACAGAAATATAATTTTAAAAATGTATTCATGCCATTATAAGCAGAGATGATTGTGACTAGTTGTTGAATTCAGGATACGAGTTTCGTCGAAATTTGGGACTCATCAGTTGAATGTACTTGAATTCATTTTTGCATTGATTGTTTGAATCTTCTGATTGATGTTTAAGACTACAGTTGATCAGTCTCTTTATTTCATTACCTATATTAATAATTGAAAGATTCTTTGAATATGTTGATCTTTTGAAATACATAGAATATAAACACTGATTATTGATCGATATAAAACTCTATTTATAAAAGAATCAAAAAACAGATTGCATTTAGTTAAATAAAAGTTTAATTTAGGACTGTTTTGATCTTAATTATCTTTTATAATTTTCTTTTTGGTTATTCTCTTTAAAAAAACTGAGGATTAATTTCGGAGAGAAAAAAAGACTATAGCTATATACAATTCGATATATATTTATATTCAGTTTTTTCTATTACACATTGAGTTCAATATCTTAAAAAGAAACCTGTTTGCCTAAATATTAACCCTTCTATATATTATTTAAACTATTAAAACATAGTTTTCATTTCAATCAGCTTAATCACTAGATCACTGAGCCGGCATCCAACGAAATTGAGCAAGACTGATAGGTCCTGGCTTCAGATCCCGCGAGGCGGGGTCGTGGATGCGCCCTGCGGAGGGGTTCCACAATAGGACGAAACGGCCATCCAGTGCGTCGAGGTTTTCCATGATGGTCTAGCTTGATTTGACTCATGATCTCAACTATTGAAATTACTACAATCTCCACAAAAAGCCCCTTCTGACACATAGAAAAAGGTGAACTTATTTACTGATTTAAAAATACGCGTGGAACTTATGATAATCATCGCTTTCAAGATTCGCGTTCGATATAATATTGTGGTAGTAGTGTTGACTTGCTTTTTATCAATCTTAACACTAGATGAATTGTCTTATATATATTTATATTCAACGAAATAGTTACTGAATGATTATTGTTTACTAAAAATTTATGTTAAGTCATCTGACGAGATCGTTTATTTTCTAAGAACTTCGCTAGATCACATAGTACGCTAAACATGTAATCTAAAAAACGTTTTATTCACATAGATAGCTTTCTGGCAAACTATAGTTCTTTATACACAATTCTAAGTCTATTTCAAGCAATTGTCCCATAATGTTTTCTATTCGAATGTATTAATAACAAGCAGGATATTCTAAACTTGTTTTTATAACACTAAACATATGCTGGATGTTAAACGTTGAATTGAAGTAAAAAGGGAATAAGGATAAAAATGTTAATTAAATCTACATAAAAAACATTTTAAAATGAATACATTTACATTTGTTTTTCTATTTCAGCTCAATAATCAAGTTTTATATGGTCTTAGCCATTTGAATGCTGCTCCACTAATCAGATCTATTTATATGGAAGTGATAGGACGAAGTAGCAATATTTTCAGACGTTCAAAATGTAATGCTTTGAGGTTTGTGATACAACGTCATTCGTCAAATACAAATCTTATGGCAGCATTAGCAACAAATCAACATGCAGATGTGAGTGATTCCAATGTGTTTAATAAATTATTTCTCCTTTTTACACTGATCATTTGTACGACAGCTATATTACACTATTTTCATCATGAGAGCCTGCATCCTTCATCTGTCGCCAATGTTTTAATTGACTTTATTCTAGTGGTTAAAGTTTCGTTTGTCATATTTATGGCGACTGAGTTTCAATCGAAAATACTTGTATCCAGATGAGTTTATTTAAAATACAAATGCCCAAAACATGTACAGAATTACTGAAATTTGATCACAAACATGCATCTTTGCTCTTATGAATATAAAGCCTTCTATAAGTCTTTAATGAACCACGTTTTAACACTCAAAGTGAATTATGTAGATCTATCGACTCTTTTTACCCTACATCAATCAGTCCTGATAATTAGTTCTACTGCTCAATTACATCGTGATGAATTTCTTTTTTGACATGTCTTTTTAACATAACTATAATCCCCACAAACCCTTATCCTGTTAGTAATCATTTGTTCACTGGTGAATAGATTTAAGAAGGATGTTCTAGAGTTCTAGTGAGAAGCCGTGACCAGTGGAGTAAAATCCGTATCGAGTGTGAGACCTGGTATCTACCTCAGACAATGAAAGATGGTCTCGCAATATCGTGAATTGGTTCAAGTTAGACATTAACACCGTTGGACGCTGGCTCAATGATTTAGACATTAAGCGTTCGCACGTGAGACCAGAGGTTCTGGGATTGAGTCTCGTATGTGAAATCGCGGATGCACACTGCTGAGGAGTTTCTTACTAGGACGAAATGGCCGTTCAGCGTTTTGAGGTTTTTAATAGTGATCTCAAATTGATCGACTCGTTAGTTCAACTATTACTTTTTAACACAATCAGTTCATCTTTTCAACCTGATGTACTTACTTACTTACTTACTTACGCCTGTTACTCCTCGTGAAGGAGCATAGGCCACTCACCAGCATTCTCCATCCAACCCTGTCCTGGGCAATCCTTTCTAGCTCCGTCCAGTTGTAATTCATCCTTTTCATATCTGCTTCTATAATCCGACGCAATGTGTTCTTTGGCCTTCCTCTTTTTCGCCTCCCTTCAGGGTTCCAAGTTAGGGCTTGCCTCGTGATGCAGTTTGACGGTTTGCGTAATGTATGTCCTATCCATTTCCATCGTCTTTTCCTAATTTCTTCTTCAGCTGGAAGTTGCTTTGTTCTCTCCCACAGAAGGCTATTGCTGATGGTATCCGGCCAGTGGATGTTGAGTATCTTGCGTAGGCAGCTATTTATAAATACTTGTACCTTCTTGATGGTGGTTGTTGTAGTTCTCCAAGTTTCAGCTCCATACAGTAGAACTGCCTTGACGTTCGTATTGAAGATTCTCACTTTGATATTGGTTGAAAGTTGTTTTGAGTTCCATATGTTCTTCAATTGTAGGAATGCGACCCTTGCTTTACCGATCCTCGCCTTTACGTCTGCATCTGAACCTCCTTGCTCATCGATGATGCTTCCTAGGTATGTGAAGGACTCTACATCTTCCAGAGTTTCGCCATCAAGAGTGATTTGATTGCTGTTCTGCGTGTTGAATTTGAGGATCTTGGTTTTTCCTTTGTGTATGCTGAGGAACCTGATGTACAGGTTACCAAAATAAGTATTGAATACTCAAAGCTTTTTTTAAAAGACCTTATTAAACTTGACAGCTTGTTTCAGTTTTGATAAGATGTTTTTACTATCATTCAGAAATTTAATTACAATTTATAAAACAACTGTAATTTATTAACAATCAGATAAACTGATCTGTCATGTTTATCAAATGAATAATAAACTCATGTTAAAGAAATTATGAAATAAATAGTTTTAGCGAATTAATGATGAAATTTTAAGCTATGCAGTAATTGGTTTCATGTTTTGAAACTTTTATTTCTTTAAATAGTCTTCTTCAGATCGATCCAGCCGACACACCAGTGTAGATACAACAACAAGTGCACTAACATCACCAGTGAAGAACATAAATAAAGCAAAACAATCTATAGAATTTATGAATTTAGCATTCGGTGGTTCACACGGACCTTTAACTCAACAAACATACTCTACAACGTTGTATAGAGTAAGTTGTTAAATGCCAATTAATATCTGTTATTTTATCATAGATTTGATCAGTGTTTTTTTTGTTTTTCTTATTGTATCTAAAAAAGGCTGAAACTTCAAAATCATTGTTTTATTAATGAGTTTTCAGCGATTAAGTAGACTTTGAAGATAAACTTCACTGTGAACTGAAAATAGCTGATGAGCTTTTAAAGACCAAGAATCAGTGATCAGTTGTTTCAGTCTCATCATTTCAGGAATTCTTAACAGGATACATTTCTGAGTGAATCCAGAACTTTTAAGTTAAAAGTAAAACATAATATCATTAGGCTCCACAATATTCGATGACTGACAGTTTTTTTTATTGGTATTGTCATAGGGTTTCGACTGTAAAATACAGTAGTTGACTATACGATTAGCGAAAAAGCTTAGCAAACCGAAGATAAAATGTCTTCATTGAAATTAATGAATTTTTCATAAACATGATAGTTTTATGAGTTAGAAGTTAACAAAATCCTCAATTTATTGACAATTTTCATCAGCATAAATTTCAGTCTCGTGATTAGTGTGCTTGGTGAGTTATATACGATAGATAATCACAGAAAATGGTTGGAATATTACCACTTTACTAAGAGGGTGATGTATATCAGGTTATCTTCTCAACTAGATGCCGATAAAAAAATCTGAAATCCTTACGCAAAAGGTAACTTTTAAAAACATAGGACGAAAACGGATTCAAGGATCGTTTGGTAAACTCATATATCTCAGTTTAAGTAAAATTATTCATTAATTTTCGATAAAATGTCATTCAGAACCAAAATAATGTCGTAAATCTTTAAATGAAAGAAACGAAACTATGCGTTCATAATGAAAATTAAGAAATTGTATCACAAATATACTATTGTTCACACAAGTGCCAACTGCCGTCGAAATTTCATCTTTTAAAATAAACTACGTAAATAAAACTTGAAATCAAAAAATTATTTACCTAAACTTTGTTTGAATCTTGTAAAATAAACAATTTTGATTCTGTTTGGTTAAAATAGATTTATTTATATTCACCAAACAGTAGAAACCTCATATTTTAGTGAATTCCGAGCTAACATATTATTGGTATGTGATTATAAAGACCGGACTTTTTACGGATTTTTGAGGATTGAATTTATTTAATAAAATCCAGTAAATATAATCGAATTCTTATCATCTATTCCTGTTGTGTCATTTCCGTTAAAAAGTATCCTACTAAAAACCAAACGATGCTATATGATAGTAGTTTGATTAAACAATTATTTAGATTATGACTTTAGTAATATGACGTTAGTACCGTTGGATGCCGGCTCAGTGATCGAGAGGTTAAGCGCTCGCGCGCGAGACCGATAGGTCCTGGATTTGAATTTCGCGGGGCAGGATCGTGGATGCGCACTCCTGCGGGGTCCCACACTAGGATGTAACGACCGTCCTGTGCTCCCATGTTTTACATGATGGTCTAGCTTCAATTGACTCATGAATTCAACTATTAAAGTTATATATGTGAGGTATTTTCGAGAAAAATCTTAGAAGACAGAAATTTATACCTCTAGCTAATTATCTGAATTTTGAGAATAAAGATTAGTTCTGAATTACAACTTAAGATGTCTCAGCTGTTATGAGTTAAATTATTTACTTTATATGATAGGACACAGATTCTTTCATTGACGAAGAGTTCATGCTTCATGACGCTAAGCATTTATACATGATTAAAAATTTCAGACAGAACGTTGTAACCCGGAGTTTATTGACAAACAAACATTATTTTGTATTATTTTTAAATAGGGTTCTAAAGGATTTGGATTTGCAATAATGGAACGAAGTGCAACAAATGAAGAAGGAATTTATATTAAACAAATCGTTGAAGGTGGTCCAGCTGATAAAGTATGTTTTAGTTAACTTTTTGTACACAATTCCGATTTCAGTTTATTAAATTTTGGACACTATTACTTAATAACTGGTACGCTATTTAATACAATAATTAATATTCAGATACCAAAATAACATGCTTGTGAAATAGAAAGAACTTTTAAGTTTATTTGTATAATGTATACTAAGCGATACAGGCAACACCAAATGACACAAACATTAACTAATCCAAAAATAATTTTCTCTGGTAGAAAACTCATGATTTTGTGTAATTATTTATTTCGAAATTTATTCATTTGTATATTTCTGCCATCATTTATTATTATGGATTTAATATTGACATCAGTTTATGCGTTTATGTGATATTTTCCACCTCATTCCAATGGTATAGATATTTGTTATGGTGAATCTGAGAATCCTAAGTGATACAAAGTTATATATATATATCCATTATTCTTAAGTCACGTTTTGACAGTGTTAATTATTCACATACCAACCCTGACTGTTTTTATATGAGCATAGGTGTGTATACTTCTCATCCTACTCATCACATGTTTGTAGCTTATTTTTGTGTGACTATAAATATTGATTAACGCTTGAATAAAGGGATTTGGCTCACATGCCTTCTCCATCGCGCGTCATTTTGCTTCGCTCCCTTCCATTCTCTTCATCCCTCTCATTTCTTGTCCAGATCAATGAGTGTACAAAATATAGGTATCCAAAAATCCATTCTCTTGATTTATTTAATTCCGTTATTCACTAACGCTAAGTCGATAATTATATATGAGATTTAAGGATACATATATATATATATATATATATATATATATATATATATATATATATATATATATATATATATATATATATATATATATATATATATTGTTCACACTTTAGTGAACAAATAGTTCCCTCCACATTATTATTTTCAGATTGTTAATTCAAAAACATTATTAAAGCAACTTATATATTTTTGTTGATATAGAAATAAGATGCTTTATTGTTTTCTGATTTATGTCTATTGACAATACTATCTTGTCATTTAACGTAAATACGATTCAGAAGGTCACATTTACATTCATATTGTTAGTTGTACTAAATTTGTATTTGATAACTTAGTTTATACTTACTTGAACAAAACAAACTTCCACTGAAATGTCATGCAAATAAATTATAAATTTTCTATTTTCGATCGATATTCTGTATACAAAAATTCATTATATCAAAGGTATTTAAATTTATGAAGATTGAAATAGGTTATAAAAAAGACGATCATATACCTTATGATATCGCAAAGATATTCTAACTGTAATTCTGTTCTCTACAGCACTTTAAAAGTACTACCTTTTAGTGACTGACAAATTTTATTCTATAGTGCTGTAGTGAACGAGAACCCAAGTGGGGACAACCAAATGTATATTTGAATACAAAACTACAGAACATCTTAGTAAAATCCGAGAATCATACGGTAAATACTTAATTTGCAAAATGTCAATTAATTATTTCAAACTTGACTGTTCCTTTTGTAAGTGTCAATCAATCGTCTCAGACTTCACTGTCCCTTCATTTCCGCAGCAATCATTCTCTGTTCTCGTTCTCTTTTCTTCGATCTTCTTAACCTTCTTCTGCCAGGCATTTCACTTTTGATTGATGATACAAACTACTTATATCTATCGACATCAGTAGCACAACACAGTAACAATAATTAAAGTAAGATAGTTAAATCATTCTAATATAAACTAAAGTGTATGATCACTGCAAAAAAGATAAATAGAATTATCAGAAGCCAAGCAAGCATTATAACAGTGTACATTATTACATAATTCTATTCATGGACAACATAAATGTTCCATATCCCATTATTATTGGTTTGTGTTAATGATTTGCTTTTAGTAAATTAAAATTAATATTAAAATTAGATTAACAAAATAACTGATTTGAATTTCAGATAGCAACTACCAGATTGTCGAAGTACATATATAGGAAACACAAATTTTAGTCGAATACATGGATGGAATTTAATGGATTTAATAGAAATGTTTTACATTTCTATGACAGTTTAAACATAGATTCAGTTTAGAAGCTGTCATTGATATTTCATTCATATTATAAAACAAGTATTCATATGAATAACATAGTTTATTTATAAAGAGTTTTATTGTTATTTCCATTTGTATATTTTAAGGATGGTATTTTATGTGCTGGCGATCAATTAATTAAAATAAACAAAAAAGATGTGACACATATACCTTACGACACAGTAGTAGAATGGATACGATCTGCAAAACATATTGTGAGTTTATTTTCTACTTCTGATTAGTTAATTTTAAAATGTAAAGGTCATTCCATAGTAATATATTATAACTCTTGATTAAAATTCGTCTGAATAAATTCACAGTATTTGAGTGCCAAGTTAGTGTAAGACATTAAGAAGGAAGAATGTATTTGTAAAAATCTCAACGAATCAATATAAAGTAAATTTAACGTTTCGACTGATAATCTTATCCAAGCTTTTCCAAGGGGATATTAACACTAATAAATTACCTAGATTGCTATACGAAACATTGGATTTACTAGAAAGGCCATACTCTTTGAATTAATTAGTTTTTAATTGATTATTATTTAATATAACACGAAGTGATGTATGGAACCGTTAACAGGAGAAGTAATCATAGAAGTAGTGGATAATTTCTATTCTACACTAAGATAGTCTTTCAGTATCGTGAAAAATGAAGTAGCTTAAACTTATAACTAATAGAATATTTTAATCTTTTTTGATGGAGTTTTGTTCTTTGAGCTAGATGGTTTGGTCGTGGAGCTTTCATAGTTCTTCTGAACGACATCATCAGCACAAACTTCATATAGAAGTCGTGTTTATGCTTATCATTTTGATATTTGATACAAAATGAAAGAAAAGGTTTACCTTGTTTATTCTTATTTTTTATAAATCTAGAATTGATTAGAGAAATTTTGTAATACCATTTATTACGACACGATTGGTGCTGAATTTCAAAATCTCGTAATGGCACTTTAAAAAATCTGTGTAGCAATAAAAGAGAAGAGATAATGGGACATTGAATCAAACTGTGCAAACATAAATTATGAACTTCATTTTCTTTATGAATAATTACTAAAAACACGATGCCTATTTCGTCAATTAATTGATATTTTCAATTTTCAAATAAACTTACCATTCAACTCTTACTGAATCATTTATGACATAAGATAACTTTGATATGGAAACAACTAAGATTAATCAATAAGGTGAAGAGATTAAATTAAGGTTATCCTTCGTTCAAGTTTGTTTAGATGATTAAAAAATAAAAAATTATGCTTGATTATTTTTAATGACATTCTATCCAATATTCAGTTACATAATTCCATAAATGATCACTACTGTTTAAACGTAAATTCACAATAAATATTTTTTATTTGAATAGGTAATTCACAGGATTTTGAATTCAGCCATTCAGCTGATAATTAATTAGTTATGATTGTTTAGTGCTGATCAGTGAGACTGTTCTTAATGTATTTTCTAACATTTTATTGGAATCTATAATTCAGATGATTATCAAAATCACGATTTAGGAATGAGAATTGCACTATCAAAATGATGATGATTCTGTTTCTAGCTTAGTGATTTACAGTTTTCATTCTCACATTAAAACTTCAAGTTCATGGATTCTATCCTGTTTTGAATAGGAGATAATCACAGATGAATGCAACTTAATGTTATAGATATATATATATATATATAATTTACTTTTATCTTTATTTTATGCTTATTTGCTTTCAGCTTCATGTACAAGTTACACGGTGGGGTTTCAATATTCAAGCAAGCTCAGAAACAAAATCATCAACTAAACGTTTCTCAGATCCATCTGTACTGAATACATTTGCATCTGTTTTATTTGGTAAAGATAATGAAATGAAAAATTTTCTATCCCCAGTTAATACATGCCGAGAATTAATTAACACAAAACCTTTAAACGTATTATCCTCAATTGAAAGTGGTAGGTAATTGTTTTTTTTTCTACATTGAACAATAATTAGCGGTTGTTTTTAAAAATATAATTTAGAATAAAAGTGTTACGATTTAAGCAAATAGATATTACATTTTTTCTTAAGTGCTATTTGTGACTTTTGTCCTATTTCTCCTTATTATCATGAAATCATAAATAGAACTATGATGATGTTTTCTGCTAGTTGATGAATAAAATAACTAAGAAGTTTAATGATGGATTAGCGATTTCTTTGGTTTTAATCAGTCTACACTACAACATATTGTAATCAAAGAATTAATGAATATGTTACATAATCCGTAATACAATATTGAATAATTGTGTTCATTATAATTAAAGTATTCGTGTTTTCATTCTCAACTGAATGCATTTTGTATTATACATGAAAAGGATAATAGATGTTTAGTTTTCGAAGTTTTACATCTATATTGGCAAAAATTATCTGTTTTGAAAATTAAATACAGCTCTACAAAAAGAGCAAAGTTCATACTGAGATTTTGAGTGTAACTTTGTGTTTCAATCGTTTAAGGAAGTGTACTACTGAATATGATGGAATTTTCATTGTCCATTGTTTTGCCTAAGTCATTATTAGAAATTCACAGTAACTCACGTTCCATCCACCCTAAAGATTGAATTAAGTGTTACAAAATAACAATTAAAACGTTTTTTCTTTGTCCTGTTTTCATTTGTTAGTTAAAGTCTGCATAAAACATTCACTTGTTTTAATAAGCTTTATTTGATATTCTAATGGTAGGACAAAATCAGAGAAATGTCTTGGCTTTTATGCTTCTTTTCATCATTTTATTATCATATGTATGTTTTTCTGATATGAAACATAATACCTACCCGTAAAATAGTATTCTGAATCAAATATTTTGTTTAATTAGGGGATTAGTGAATTCTCTTAATTAGAGAATAACTTATTTAATTTCAATTTTCGGGATTTCTGGAGATTACAGTATCGTTGATGCTCACAGCTAAGGATCTCGGTAATAGGATGAAACGGCCATCAAATGCTTCCAGGTTTTCAATGGTGGTTTAGCTTAGATTGACTAGTGAACTCAACTTTTATTTATATTTATCATTGAGAAAATCAAGTGAATAAACTTGATTTATGTCTGTGTAACCTTATTTGTTCATTAACTCATATACATAAGAAATAAACATTTACTGTAAGGAAGAATTTAACGAATTTTGTTGATAACATGCTTTCAGTAGTTAAAGTTATATCAGATCTATGAAAAGTTTTTTAAAATAAATGATACATTACTCGTAAAACAATGATAATCAGAATCATTTCTCTACAAAAAGACTGAAAAGTTGAAATATGATTTCTAGTGTACATAGTCTGTTCAATTCCAGTAAATTCTGCGGACTGAAAAGCTTGTTGACAGTTTCACTATTTCTTTATAACTTGGTTCTTACCATTTTGTTAAGGTGTCTGACATTATGGATACTCTCTCCAATCCATATAATTCAGAGTCACTTAGAAATATTAACTAGATAGGTAGAAGCTTAGACTGAGAGAACAATAGGTTTATAGTAGTGTGATCGCACGCCATCTTCTTGATAGTGGTCACGGTGTTTATGTCTCAAGGTCCTTTAAGATAACTAATAAACAAAAAACGTCAAATTTACTGCGGTTTGCTAAGGCAATTACCATAAAAAGAATTAAAGCAAATTTATGTATCCAGAACAATTTAGTTGTCAATCATGCCTTGCTGTATTGAACTCATTCATAAATATTTGTAACAAGATTCTCTTTTTTAATTGTACTAATTATTAATACTCATTTTCTGTCTGATCTGTACTCTGTTGGACAATTTTTCAAGATTTACTTAACTAGAACAATAATATGTCATTTCTAAATAATTCTGTTTCTATGTTCTTAGTTATTTATTCTATGATATTCCTGTATTAAACCTTTAAATATTCACATTAATTGACATGTGAACATCTCTTATAGTTCTTGCATAATTATTGCTTTTTTCATTAGTCTTCATTGATGAGAACCCTACCGATGTTATGATATAAAGTATGTAGACTGATTTTTAAAGATTGTAATATTATGTTTAGGTTTTAAGCAGCTGACGTGGAGCTACAAAATAGAATGAATTCATGTTATCCTGCTGCATTATTTGTTCTAGCTTCACTCAAATTTGTAAATGGGAAGAACTGTACAAAGAATATAAACTAAGTAACTGATCGGGATGTTCCGAAAGTCTGAAGGCCAATGGGCTGTATCCTCTATTTGAAAAATTATCACAGACTAATAATTGCATGAAGCAACTATGGTTAGGTGATTTATAATTTTCTTCAAATAGGTAATCCATAAGAGTTGCGTTGAACCAACATTGAATAAAACATACCTCATATCTTTATGACAGATTTCTGATCTGTGCAAACTCAAGAAAGTGACAGAAATACGTCTTGTAGAATAATCACTTCAATAGCATAACTTAAGAATGTGTAAGCTCTTACTGATGAAGTAGCCATTAATTGTAGAACATTGAGGTAATTACTACTTGATTAAATAGGTTTCTAACACATGCTTTCAAACCATCATAATTCCATTTGTTTTGAACATATGACAATAGTTCATCCTACTAAGGGTAAGGTTGATTTTTTCTACTTCAGAATGTACTACGCTTTTTACATACAAACACTTCTTCATTACAGATGTATTAATTTCAAACAATTACACGTTTGTATTGAATACTTCTGATAAAAAGTCAATATAGTAGTTATTTTGCATGCTTCTTTTAAGTTACCAGTCTTACTTTACGTCATTTATTCACCTTCTAAAAGAAATCTGTAAACGTTTTGTTCAGTTCTTTTTACACAAAAGACGAACACAAACTGTCAGTATGCTGATATTATGGTGTTTAGTTTTTCTACAATACTAACTTGAAAGTCACTTGGTTAAAATATGCTTCGGGTAAATAATTTTGCCCTTTATTAACCATTTTCGATGTATATATAACATAGTGTCATGTATGTTTCGGTTTTAAATATCCTTTGAAGTGAACATTTTAAGAAAAAGTTGTTATATTTCCTATAAATATATGAAATACTTATGAACTAATGTCACCGATGATATTTACACACACGAATATATTGGTAAAATCTATATGACTTAGTGACAGAACGTATGATTTGTTCCCAGTTATTTACTGAAAATGAACCTTAAAATAAACCTGTTATGATGGTAGTTATTTTTCTTATTATAACAAGTTTTTTATATCACTGCCCAGCAAATGATGAGTTTTTTTGACAAGTCACATATTTAAAATGTTTTAGATTTATACCGATTTATGGTTACGTTATTGTATATTTGTTAGGTAGAGTTGATCAATAGGTCATCATGAATCCATATTTTTAGTTGTTTATCTCTCATCAACAAGGTGTATCTACAACCGTGATGGAACTGATACTTTCGTAAGACTCATAATTGCCTCTCACATTATGATAGTTGGAGACGAGTTACTGTAGGTTTGAGATATTTACCCTAGTTAGTCGCTGAGTAACACTTGTGTCACTTGTATCATATTTAGTTTTCAACGAATCCTAAAAAAATAAGTCACAACTTGGCGCTTAGTCAAAGTTGCTTAATATCAGACGAAGTATGTTTTGATATTAAGCGGTTAAAGAGGATTTGCAGGTAGCCCCATAAATATTGAGACTGATATGTGATATTTAATCAGTTGATAATGAAGATAAATTAAAAATGGTATTTATAACATCAATTAAGTATCTGTTATTCATAAATAAATTGTTTAGTTATTCGCTTTATCTTTTTCATTAAAAGTGCATTATGTTGATTATTTCCTAACAGTAATCTATAAAAAAATTATCCCTTAAATTGTGCATTATATATACATCCAGATGTAGCTGAGATTTCGTCTGCTGACCGTAATGGGTGTATGGTGCTATTGAGTCAACTCCGTAATACTTTCAGGCTGTAACTCACTCGTGAACTACAGGTTTTTGATCATGTGTTTCTATGAAACATCGCTCGTGTTTCTTGAAGCAACCAAATAAGCGAATGAGGTTAGGTATAGAGTACTGAACAAAAGTGGCAAATAGGTTGATGAGACGATGATTCTCCACCGACCACGGTGGGCAGAACATGTGTTACGTATGCCTAGTAACCGCTTATTTTGACAGGTAATGGTTGCTGGTATAGGAGTAGATTGAAAGAAAGCCATAAATTGTTGATTCTAACCTTTTTAGAAGATGCATACTACCTATCTGGGGTCCATGAGATAACCGCAATCAGTGGTTCCGGACTTTGAGTAATATGTATCAGAATCGTTCATGGTAATGCAAATGAATTAACTTGTTCTCCTACTCTAAATCTCAAGTCCTATTATACCCTCATATGTAACTTTCCACAGTTTCTTGAAGCCTTTTTCTAATTACTTAGTCTTTTCCATTGTCATCATTACCACATTATTTTAATTTTTTGCTACTCCTTAATGTCTTTTCACCGTGTTAATACGATATAGAAAATTGGACCAACATACATCTATTCCAGGCTGTACTCTGGCGAGAACTGGTGGTGAATTGTGTGATATATATGTTAATCCAACAATGGAAACTATCAACCCTCAGACATGTAGCTCCCTTAACAAAAAATACCTTTTATATATGATATATCATATGGTAAAAAGGTAATTGGACTGTCAAATATATCTAAATCATAAATAATATGGATCTATAAAATAAACAAATAAAATGATTCATTTTAGAGTCAATGACCAAATTAATTTACGTGTACATAAATACAAGTTTCCGGGTTTATTGAACTCTTGGCAATATCATGTTTTATAAGTTAAAATGATAGTATATACTGTTTAGAATAATAAATTAGATAGTTATTGTAAGAATTTTGTTTAAAATACCTAATTAACTGACTGATTGTTCGAACTTTAATTTCTAAAATCCATAAACATATTAAAATTAAACGATTCAAACAAATGAATTTGCCAGAAGGGGTTTTTGTGGATATTATGGTAATTTTGATAGTTGATATCAAGAGTCAATTGATTCTAGACCACCATGGAAAACCTGGAATCACTGTAGGGCCGTTTTGTCTTACTGTAGGACTCAGAAGTGCTCATCCACGATCCCGCCTTGCAAGACTCGAACCCAGGTCCTATCAGTCTCGCGCGCAAACGTTTAACCTCTACATCACTGACTCGATATCCAACCAACGGTATTAATGTTTAACTTCAATTAACCCATTAATCGGTTCATTATTTCAATGAGAAGTATAAAGTTTTTACAATACCGTATCTAGCGTATATACCATCCGACGAACAGGTTGTGAGGGCTGACCCAATGAAAAAATTTCATTCATGAACATGTTGCTAACTCACTGTTGTATAGATCCTTATTTTTTTAGACAAATTTCATTCAATTCTAGATAATTTATTTACTTATTTCGTACATATATGTATGAGGTTTCGATTGTCTTTGTGGGAATGTTCTTTGATAAGAATTCCATTTTGTACTGAACATATCATGTTAAATAAACCTATTATTATTATTATTATTTTTATTTTTATTACTCAGTTCACTGGCAATAATAATTAGTGACAAAGGTTTGAGGACCAAGAGGAATATTTGTTTCTCTAAGACTAAGTATATCTGGCAGATAGATCCTATATAGTATAAAATCTAGACACTGATCTTCTCGATAATTACCACCTAACATGACAGAAATCTGAATGAATGAAGTAATAATTTAGGGAAATTACAATATAAATCAACTCAAAGACATCTTCATCATGGCAAATGTCAGATAAATAATAAACATTTCTCAAGAATCTTATTTTGTATTCTCGACTTTGAAATCGTAGTTTGTGTGTGACAAATTGTTCAAATTATCTTCTGGAAAATAACTAAGCAAGTCAAAGGTTCTATTGAGCATACCTCCAGAACAATTCAAACATAAGATATTAAATCTTTAGACTCAAGAAGAACATCTTACCATATATGATGAGTTCAAATGCTTTTCAATGTTCGCTTTATAATTTTAATTTAAATTATTAAAAATGAATTTGTTAAACTTCCCTTACATGTTTTGCCTTTTCGAAACCATAAAGGTACGAGCTGGTTAGTACCCCGACAAATCATATCAAGGTATCGTCGTGCAAGTTTTCCAAACATCTGTTATAAACGAGAGCATATTCCTACTACTGTTCTACAGCCTTTGCCAAACTATTCAACAACTTCAATAAACCTTCAAGGAGATATAATGAATTTCGATAAAATCTCAATTTTAATAAATGACGAACCAGAAATCGAAGCAACAATCCGTCCCATCAAGTCTGGAACTGAAACTGAAATATCGATCGCAATAAATAATTCTTGTGGTCTAGGGATAGGCTGTATAGGAGGCTGTGAAACAGCACTAGTAAGCGTGCAAATGCTTTATTTTATACATACACACTTTTTACATACTATAAACAAAAAATAACTTCATGTTAACTCTCAAAAGAATTTTACATCGAAAACATAAGTTGCCCTTTAAATGATATAGTTTCATTTCATTTAAAACTAAAAGTACTGAAGTATGTATACCGAATTTTAGTAGTAGCAGTAGTTTTTTAGTTATCAATATGAAAACAGAATAAACAATAGAGAATATAAGCAAAGATAGATGGTGGTTAGCAGTGGAACCCAGGACACAATTTTCATCCTATTTGTGACTCGTCAGTTGGATGTACTTATATCTCAGAGTTGATATTCACTTTGGGACTCAAACCCATTACTGTTCACTTCAAATGTCATCACATTATCCACTTAGCTACTGAATTGAAAAATGGTGTAAAATAATGAAATATTTCATATTTGACTAAACGTTTGTTAAGAACTCACTTTATTTTTTGGGAAGAAACATTATCTGAAGTCATTACAGAAAAAAGAACAGTCTTATTTTCTACCATAGAATAAAATAATTTTTTGTCGGGTATATAATAAAATTTTAGTCTCGTTATACTTTTATGATGTAAATTCACTTGGTGTTGTTTTTTACTTGTGCCTTCCCATTGTTATTCAGGACTGTGATTGATCAGCCTCATGTTGGCATATGTGCATCCTGTGCGGATTGCCTCGATATAGCCTTAGGTCACAAGCTTTTTAAGCAAAGATGGATAGTGGCTGACAGTGAATTCCAAGACGCGCGTTTCGTCCTATTTGGGACTCGTCAGCTGGATGTACTCGCATCTCAGAGTCAATTTTCACTCTGGGACTCGAACTCACTACATGAGACTGATCAATCGCAGTCTTAAATAACAATGGGAAGATACAAGTAAAAAACAACAAGTGAATTTAAAGTTCACCCCATTGCACAAGCAGGTGGCTATCAGGACTCAGTATCTAAGCGGATAACGTGATGGCATTTGAAAAGAAGTGTTGGGTTTGAGTTCTAGAGTGAATATCAACTCTGGGATGTAGATACATTCAACTGACAAGTTCCCAATGGGACGAAACGCACATCCTGTATTCCACTGCTAGACAATATCCATCTTCGCTTTTATGATGTGATCATAATTTTTTTCAAACCTTAACAACACATTTACATCCTCCATGTTGTTGTTTTTTTAAAGTTTGTTATAAACATATTGATTTAAAATATGTTCATCTTATTCTTAATCATGTGATTATAAGTTTGTTTTGAATAAATAAACTTTTGTTTATATACATGTGATATTAATATGAAATTACAACTAAATGTAGAATACATAAATAATAAATAAATAAAGATATGAGAAATCTTCTCTCTCATTAATAATACAGACAATTAAGATTTATATGGATCGTCTTGTAGGCTTTTTATAAACATTTGAACTGATAAATCTATGGTTAACTACTTCAGTTCTAACTAAATCCATCATTTACTTACTTCTTAAAAAGAACATCAAACTTTCAATTTCGATGATAATTGATTAATTACTACTGTGAATTAAAACTGGGATTTCCATATACTGTGATATAGAACTGTTACTAATTGTATTAGTAAAATGTAATATTTCTTCCCTGTTAAATTGCTAAAAAGTGAATACCAATGACAAAAAAATAATGCACGTTGAATAGATTGACATAAGTGTAAAATATAAACGATAATAATTGACTTATTGTCTACTAAAATCTAAACAGTGAACTACAGTAATAGTTTCACAATGATATTTGTTTTGTATTGATAAATTTGTTTGATCCACAAATTATTGGAGTAATCAAAACTCATTCTATTTTAAACTATCTAATATGTCATTTATTTCATATAGTTTTCAGCAGCATGTAAGGGTTCGTGTTTCCTAAATAGAAAATGTTTACTGAATTTCTATCATAATAAAATAAATCTTTCTTCGTTCTGCTAACAATTTTATGATCATTTGTTGTGGTAACATAATATAGAATGCCTTACCCAACTATTTGAATTCTACCGTGATAAGGGATAAGAAACTGAATGTTTGTGTGTGTTCCATTATAACTTTGTAAATAATACTATGGTATTTAGTGTAATATATCAAATAACCTCATAACCTCCATGAAAATGTCAATGGTTTAATGGAGATTTTACACGTTCCAGATAGTTCAATAATGTATGCTCACCCCTGTTCACAACAATAGGTATGTAATTGATAGATTACCTTGTTAATTATCTTAACTTCGACTGTGTAACTATATTCATAAGGCTACCACGATAATGTGCTGTAACTTACCTCGTTTTCAAAGAAATAAAATTTGTCATGGTAAGGTATTTTTCTGTAATTTCAGTTTTACTGTTATTAGTAGGAAAAACCTATCAGTTGTTGTTAACTTAATTTTAACTTCAGATATTCGTTCTATATCATTTCGTCAGAAATATATTTAACTCAATTGAATCAATCGATTTTCAACAAAGTTTATAGAATGATAAACATGAAACAAGATCCCCTAATCAGTAGTATTGATCTTTGTTAAAATTTGATAATAATTATGATAATATGAAACCAGAGTAGAAGTGTACAAATCTTTCTATTAAAATTTCATAAGTACCATTATCATGCATGTGACGAAAATCAATTTTGTTTTGTTTGTTTAATGATGTATTTGGATTACGTTTCAGACAAGATTAGGAAATATTTTCACTGATCTAAGTTTAATATGCACATATTAAGTAATTTTTTGATCTGAATATTTTAATATCTTATTAGTGAATACATACTTTTCAAGTAAATCTGACATAAATTATCAGCTGAAATCTTGTTAAAGTGTCCTTATCTAATTAACTGTGATAATTATAACAATCGTATGATGTACATTTTAGAGGTAATTCTCATCTCTAAATGTGAGCCTTCATTTCTGTTTCCATTATATTTTAACTATACGATATTTATCAATCCAATAAATAAACAGATTCTTATAGAATTCTCGGTATTGTTTACTTGAAACTTTACATTGATGTTTACGACTGAAATTGATCAATCTCTTATTGGCATACGTGTATACTGTGCGTATTACCTCGATACTGCCTTAATTCATAAGCATTATAAACAATGATAGATAGTGAACATCAAATTTTGGATGCAGGTAAATTCATCTAACGAGTACTAAATAGAACGAAACACGCGTTCTGGATTCTACTGCTATCTATCCATCTTTGCTTATATAAGATTTCTGTTAAATAATATCTGAATATGCTTTGTTGGACAGTTTATAGGTATCTTTGAATTCTTATTAGACTTTATTGTTATTGTTTACTGAATTCGAAGATAAATCTAATAAAAACTGACAACAAATAAATAAGCACTTGAAATCAAATAGTATTCTTCTTATTGACAGAACTAAACTGAAAACCTTTGATTCTAATCTCAATCAATTTGCCTTAGGCTATAATTTTTTAAAATATAACTTGACAATTATAAAGTTTAAAATGGTTTAGCAGATCTTTCTATGCTGTGGTTGTATGGAATAACTTGAAAAATCAATGAAGGATGTAATGATTTAAGCAGCTTCATCAACAGGTTTATATAAGTTTGTCTTGTTATTTACTATTTTAAAATAATAACTTTGAAACCGATTTAAACAAAATTCTTAAAGCTACTCAACAACAAATGAAAATTGAAAATAAACAATCGGTTTTCTAAGTTATTTCAAGTTAAAATTTATTAACATTCTACTGAAGTATTGTAAAGTTATTCTAAGTGTAAATCTTTATACAAACAATTATAAAACCAATATTTTTTTTACAGAATGTTCCAGTTATACATGAAATCTATCCTAATGGTGCAGCGGCAAAAGATGGACGTTTGCGTCCAGGGGATCGAATTAGTAATGTCAATCGAATGTCATTAGTTGGTGTACCATTTTTGGAAGCTATGAATAAACTTCAAATGGCTTATATTAGCAAATCGTCTATGATAAAACTAGATTCAGATGATGAAAATGAAAATATTTCTTTATCAAATCAAGAACAAAGTTATTTAAATCTCACTATATTTCGACCAACAGAACAAAGTCAGAAATGGTTTGATCAAGAATTAGTAATTGAATTATTGAAGAAATCTGGAAAAGGTTTGGGAATTTGTATTGCAGATCGATGTGTACATCTTAAACTAGATGAAAATTTGTCAGAGAATGAAAATACTTTAAAGGTTCAAGATAATTCCTATGTAAACACTTCCGAAATGCAAACATCATATGGCGTTATTGTTACTGAAATAGTGAGTCGATTTTAGTAATAATCATGATTTTTACTTTTTACTTTATTGTACGGTTACTAACAGAAATGTGAAAAATGGTTATAAATAACAATCGTCAGCATAAATCGAGAATTAAATCTATGAAATGAATCTACTTGGTCATTCCGAATTACTGAGCTAAAACTCCTCTAACTTGTAAGCGAAAGTGACTAATTGATTTTCTACTCATGGTAAAAATGATAAATCCCTTGGGATTAAAAATAACATATAAACAACCCTAAAATTTACTATATGATAATTATAAGATGACCCGATGCTCATGAATAATTTGAATCAGAATAATAATTATTCAAATGTGAAGCCTTTCAATAACACTTTTATATTTGTTGTACATAATGTAAGAAAACGTATGTACTAAAATATAGTAATAATTTATCTCAAAGATAATTGAGGGACTTCAGGCTATTCTTGTTGGCTTGTGGGGTCAATTTGTCTGTAATAATCGTTGAAATATTTCAAGAGAAACTGCTGAGATCTTCGAAGTCAACTTCACTCATGATTTTGATAAATGAAATTGATTCCATATAATTAACTAGATCTTTCAGAAACTGTTATTCATTTTCCTATCAGTAAAAAATTAATCAGGAAAATAATTCTATCTCTCTTCAAACTTAATTGATTCAAAATTCATATCATTTATCTCAATCTATGCGTTTATTCAGAACTTAATAAACAATATTGATAGTAAGTGTGACGTGCGGTGTCCGAAATCTGGTACTGATACACGGTATGCTATGTGCTAACCCCCCCAACTGTCTACGTGAGCGAGAAAGTGTACTGGACTACCGAATGGAATGCGCAAATACTCATTCATATCTATGCCATCCTTAGGAAAGTGACCCATTAACCCCGATGAAATTCACTTAACCTTTGGGTCACTTCTGATTGCCATCAACTGACCTTTTTCTACTTCTGATTGACTCTCCATATCAGTAAGACTAAGCTAGTTTAACATATTTACTGATTATAAAAATATGTTTTACGAACAATTCGTTATTCTCTATGGTCAAGTTTTCATGAATTCCAAGAAAAATTTAACATTTTGTTATTTTGCTAGATTAAAGGATCGATTGCAGCAACTGATGGTCGTCTCATGGCAAATGATCAAATCCTGGAAGTAAATGGTAAAGATACAAGCACATTAACTAGTGAAATTGTTGGTGCTCTATTGAAGGTAATTAAATATCTCATACTTTAGTAAATAATGTAGATTTTCACCATTACTAGTAAATATGGTGGTACAGCTTATTCATGGAATCAACAGAATATTCAGTTACAAGTTAAATGTTTTTGACGTGATGAAGATTATTGTCGAATAAAAGGTTTTGTTTTCCATAATTATTATTGGAGGTTGAGGCTCATACAAAATGTTCACTTAGTAATAACTTCAGTCGTTTTTCTTTAATTTACTTAGCTCCTGTCATATTATAAAATCAGCTTGTGTGTAACAAAAGCAATCATTCAAGCAGTAAATATTTTATTATTTAATTCTACATAGATGAACAGTTTTCTTCAGAAATTCAGTTTAAAATTCACATATTCTTCATGCTACGGCAACTGAACTTACTAAATATCAGTGTTGGTTTTTTTGAATAAGGATTCGTATTTTTAAACCCATCGGGTTTATAGACAATTGGAAGGTCCTTCACTAAACGTACTTGTTATTAAACGCATTAGTAACAACTAAGAACTAAATGTGTAAAAACATTTTTTCTGGATGCTACATTCATTGTTGAACATAAATTCAAATTTTTAGTGTAACGACTATTAAGTTTTTAACAATTCTACTTGATGAATTAGAAATGTTAGTAGTCGAATTCATGAGTCGATGTGAGCTAGACTACCATTGAAAAACCGGAAGCACTGGACAGCCGCTTCGTTCTTTTATGGAACTTCTCAGCAGTACCCATCCACGATCCCGCATGCGGTACTCAAACCCAAGATCTTTGGTCTCACACGCGGACGTTTAACCTGTAGATCACATCAGAGATTATGGATGGGTGCTTCTGAAGAACGCCATGCTAGGATGAAACGGCCGTCCAATCCTTTCAGGTTCGCAATGGTGGTCTAGCTTACATCGACTCATTAACCCAACTACTGAAATCACTACATTCTCTACAAACCCTATTCTGATAAAAAGTAATTTAAAAATTGTTGTAGTTAAAAGAGAAGCATATTTGATTGGTAAATCTCTTTTTTTAGGCAGCTCCATATAAAGTTATTCTCAAAGTAGGAAGATTGAAAAATCAGATTGCTATACCAAATTCGGCTGCATTTCTTTTTAATGATCCTTGTCAAGTTAGACGATAGACTATACAGACTAAACAAGTAAGTAAATCTTTATGATTCATCTTTAAATCAATTGCCTACAATTACCTTCATTTTGTTTTATATGAACGATATATATTATCTACGCTTATTTGATTCAAGTTAAATACACAAACAGATGCAAATACTTTCTGAACAGAAATTATCAATCCTATATAAATGCTTGTAAGTCTATTAATGAAAGCCAATAATATGACGTTAGAAACCGATTTGCAAAATAATAGAGATTACATTTATGGTGTGTTTATAATTGTATAATTGTAAATAAGATGAAGGAATACACTTTCTTTTCTTGAAACTACAAACATCATATAGTGTTCAAGCAGTCGGTTTTTGTCTCTTCAACAATTATGAAATTTTAATACTTCAATTCATCAGTTGATCTAATGTAAACCACCATTGAAAACCTGGAAACACTGGATGGCTGTTTTGCCCTAGTATGGGACAATTCGGCTGTATCTATCCACGATATGCACTCAAAATCTGAGCCAAAAACCTTCGATCTCGCGCACAAACGCTTAACTTCTTGACTACTTATCCGGCATCTAACGTTGTTAACATCTAACTTCAATCGATTCATGATCTTGCGCAACCATCCATCCATTGTCTGAGGTAGATACTTGTCTCACACCCGAAACGGATTGTGCTCTACTGGTCGCGCACAATAGATTTGGAGATCAGATTTTCTTATATTTAACTTATTTATTCCCAATAGCTGTTTACATAGATAGTTTCCCGAACATTGATATGCCTCTTCAATCCAATAGGAGATTGAACTGGAAGGTTGAATTTCGATTTTACATAATGGGTAGTCCGTAATGAAATTGAGTAAATTCTTTAAGTTCGTCATTAATTCACTTGAAATCAGATTTTCGGTTGTTTTTTTGCTGGAATACTGAAACCGGTGAACTAGATTGACTTTTAATTGTTGAATGTCTATATGATGAACAAGTTATGGTTATCAGTAGATTTTGACCCAGTGACTGAGTAGTAAAATGTTCTTCATATGACATCTAAAGTTGGTTTTTTATTGTGTCCACTATTAATCCAATGGGTGGGATTTTTCTGTATAATAAGCTAATTTTCACCATAATTTTACATTTTACCGGTAATATTTGGTATTTTGATAATTATATTAATTTTAATACTTAAGATCGTGAGTCGATTGAAGCTAAACAAACATGGAAAACATGGAAAGATTGGACGGCAGTTTCGTCCAAATGTGGGTTTCCACAGCAGTGAACATCCACGATCCTGCCTCGCAAGATTCGAACACAGGACCTATCAGTCTCTTGCGTGAACGATTAAACTCTAGACCACCGAGGCAGCTGGCATCCAACGGTGTTAGTTTAACTTCAACTTATTCACGAAATTGAGCGACAGCTTTTTCATGGTCGTCTAGCTTCAATTAACTTATGATTTTAGCTATTAAAATTACTATAATATACAAAAAACCCCTTCTAATAGTTATATTAAATAATTACATAATATAATTACATAAATCTTATTTTAATTTATTTATTTAGGTAACCAATTTAACCTGTATGGATAACACAGAAGAATGCTTATTTTTGATATCTATCTATCAAGAATGAAGATAACTCTTAATTTGTTATAATAATGAATATATACAAATTGTCAAGTTCAAATTGACCTTCCGTATTTCTTTTCTTTGAAAATAAATGCTTTCTATTGCAATAATACGAATTTCGCATAAATACAACATTCCATTATACAGATTGTTAATAATCTGTTTAAAATAAAAGCAGCTCAATTGTTCCGTTTTTTTTTTCGTTTCTTCAATGTTTTATTATATTTAAGCCAATCTATGTATGTGACTTATTTTAAATGAAGACAATCCATTCATTTTCATTCAAGTTAACAATACCACCATCAACAACAACAACAAAAAGGATATCCTTCTTTATCCTCTCTTGCACTAATAATCTTTTTTTAATGCACATATTTTTTTCGATAATTTCACCAAAAAAGTAGCAGTAATGTTTGTATAATACTACTACTTCTAAAACTTCTACTACTACTACTACTAATAATAATAATAATAAATGCTTAGCTTTTCTATATATTAGGATAATACTTTATCGTATATATTTATATATACATATACGTATATAGTGATTAGCTTCATATTTTCTTTGTCAATTCATAGGATATCTTTTATATTCATGCTATTCACCTTCTACTCTTTCTCTCACTCACTCACTAACTCTAATTTCTTTATATTCTAACTGAAATTCAACTTGATTTACAATGTGACGACTAGCTTGTTGCACAGTTATTACATGGATAGTTAAATAAAATAATATTTTTTCTATGTAAACAATGAAGATAAAATTAATATTATGCAACAACAAGAAAAATAAACATAATCATATTAATAATTTTATTTGTTTGCATGATAATCTTTCATTCTGATAAACAGAAGAATGAATATATATTGAATCCGTTTCCTTTTTTTTACTGAGACTAATCTAAGATTAATATATGTATTGATGAAGTACAATAATGTGTAATGTAAGAAATATCTACTAATAATCCTATTCGTAAAACTTATGGAAACTATTAATTACATTTAGAAGAAAAAATGTAAATTTTCTCATTTCTAACTTATCTACATTGTTTCCTCTTATAAACTAAGTGATGAAAGTCTTTCCATGAAATACATCATAAAAGGCATTTAAAATTCTGATCAGGGAAATGTTAGAAACAATAACAAATGTTACACAGTCTTATTGATTTTTGTTTTGTTTTTTGTTCTCTTTTTGGTTTGTCACACTTCTCTTCATTCACTTGTTCTCTCTTAAATGTTTCATTGATATCATAATGATAAATAGTGAATTGTCTTATTCTCCCATCCTTTTCATTTTGTTTTCTGTAAACATATCTAACTTCATTAATTCATGTGAATGATAATATATAGTGTTGATTAGTAAAATAGTAGAATTAAATTGTATAATACTTTGTTTCGTTTTGTATTAAAAATGATATGATGATTTGTTTAAACGTATATGAAAACTCAGATTAGAATAGGTAGGTTAAAATTGGTGGATAACGTAACTTAGTGTGATCAATGACGTTCTAATAGCATTCACACTATCATTTAACTCTAACTTCTAATCGCTTCCTAGTTCAACAGAAACTTCTTACATGTGGATCCCAAATGGGAATGTGAAATAAATTTTCATATTTGACAAGGTACAGAAAACGTGAATATCTATAAGTTAGTGTTGAGGCTTTTAGACTACAATTAATTGATAATCATCCAAATAGTAAATAAAACACAATTCGTCATTTTCCTAGAATTATTTAGGGAATTTCTATTAGACACTTTATCCCAACTTCTGAAGACGTTCGTCAAGACTCTAAACTCAATATCATAAAACCACGTAAATAAGTAAAAGGTGAATGATAATTAGTCCATCTGTTTTTATTCCAATAATATGGAATCGCTCCTGTAGTGTGTTTATATACTGAATATACCATATTATATTCTACTTTGCTCTTTGGATATCATTGCGTTGTATATGAAATATAAATTTCACTTGCTGAAGATGCATATCCTGTACAGAAATAATTAATACATAAGAAATATCAGCAGTAGAATGAACGACAAACGTATTCAACCAGATAAAAGTACTTTTTATTGGGGTGGTTCACCACTACAAGTTAGTTCTCTTATATTCAAAAGATGTAGTCAACGATGTCGAATCTGACTGAATTAAATATTGAGAAATGGTTATTTTTTACAAACTGCTATAGGCTGAACAGTCTTTGAATACCAAGGGGCATCAAGCAGTCCGTGTTTGCATAACAAATATACTCACAGAGAATCACAGCGAAGGTCTTACATCTAAATAAATTGACCTTCTCTAACTCCATTATCTTATTGAAGAAATATTTTAAAAAATTAATCCATCAGCATTTCAAGTTAAGATTACTATGTTTAAGCCTTGATTTGAACATAAATACAGGCAAATTAGCTGATGATGAATCCCAAATAGGACGGAACGCAAGTTTAGCATCCCATCATTAGCACACACAAAACTTATAAATCTGCGTTTTGGAAAATGGTCTAGGTAATTACAGACAAGAAAAGAAGTTATAAAGTCTTCAGGCTTTAATTCAACTTAAACCTCACATGAAATACTGTTTCGCATATTTTATAGCAGTTCAAAAAAATAATTCAAGTCATACTTAATTGATAAAGAACTACTCCTAAGAATTCCCTTGCAATACACTTAAACACCTACTTTATTGTGAAATTCATAAAAATGGTCAATACTACTGAGTGGTAGTATTGGTCATACAACCCTGTTCTTCTATGAGATTCCGTCTTTATGAGGAATTATCCTGCAGTTTTGAAACTAAAAATATTTTATGGCCAATATAAATCCTGAATTCATGACCGAAAATTCTTCTATACCCTATAAACCAGTATACTTCAAAATATATGATTAACTTGAGCATTAATTTTGAAGAATTTCTCAATTATAGATGAAGCACAAAAGGTATATAACATATTTGGAGTGTAGTTACTCATAAAACTCCTCGTACATTTTGGTTCACCTGTGAACATCTATTTTTGGCATAACTGAGAAATGAATTTTGAAACAAAAATCATCTGTTATAGTGAAACTGTTATTTTAGCTTGTAATAAGCTTAAATTTCAAATGATCTCGATAGGTGTAAGTTTTCTGTTTCCTGACACCGAGCTTCCGAGTCTTGATATATTAAAGAAGCTTTGCAGCTAAGGTTGATACTTTTGGTGTTATTGCGTTCTTTGGGCTAGATAGTTTAGTTACATAGCTTTCGTTATCTTCATGGGTGAGACCACAAACCGTTTTCTGCACGTATAAGTAAGCTTCTCAGTTGTAACATAATTTTCAAAAATAGTTTGTTCTGCTGCTTTTGTTTTTAGTTGTTTATCTTCGTAGGCCTCGTTTTTATTTATTCTTGCATTCTATGTTGAATATTTTGTTTAGTCGTTATGCGACTATGTGGTTGATCAAATTTTTCATATAAGTTGTCGAATAGGGTTTATCTTAAAAACAACTAACTATAAACAAGGGCACTAGGACAAACTAATTCAACATTCATCGTACAAATAAGAAGCTCAAATCTACACGAAGTGACTGCTGATGATGTTATCCGAAAAGACAATGAAAGTCCCACAATTAAATTACTTAGCTCAGATAAATCAATGACACCGACATTTCCCAAGTGTTCATTGTAGCAGTATGTACAATGTAAAGTTAATACTACCTATCACATAAATCACATGTCAATAATTTAAAAATAAAACAATGCTTAAAAATAAAGTAATCAGTAATTTAATATTTCATTATTATTAGTGTAATCTATTCATTAAGAGGCGTTAGATAATGGGGAGTATAATTTGCTTCAACAAACTTACTAATCGTCTACAGTATAAATAAAATGTATTCTATGACTAAAAACATCAAATTATATATTAGTATGTTATTAATACTCTTAGAAACTCGAAAAATTAACCTGTTGTCTAGGACTATTCAATCAATAAAACTATTCATTAATTTGTCATCATGGGGTTGTAGAGATTAATGACAGTGATTGAAATCAACAATCATTGAAAATCTGAAAGCACTGGACAATCGTTCATTCGTGGTGTATTGAACAAGAACACAAGTGGGGAAAATCGAATTATTTGATTACAAAATTACAGAAAATCTTATAAAATCTGGGAACCATACAGTATATACTTAATTTGCAAAATGTCAATCATTTGTTTCAAACTTGTATGTTTCTATTGCAAACATCAGTTGATCGTCTCAGAGTTCATTGTTCTTTCGTTTCGACACCAACCATTTTTTGTTCTCGTTCTCTTTTCTTTGATCGTCCTAATCTTCTTCCACCAGGCATTTCACTTTTGATTGATGATACATACTACTTATATCTATCGGCATCAGTAGTATACACCACAATAGTATGGAACTCCTAAAGAGCGCGCATCTACGACCCTTCATCTGGAAATCAAACCGAACACTCTCTGTCTCCTTCACGAACACAGTTGAAAACCACTTTCTTCAAAGTCACTTGAACAAAGAATAGTACTAATGATTCCCGAGCAACTGGTGCATTTATTATTCAGATAGCTGGATCGATAGCTCATTGGTATATCAAGTGACTAAATGTGAATACTCTGTGTAGAAAGTCTATTCATTTTTTCCAATACACTTATGCAGATCATTAGAAATATTTGTTCTTACATGTAAAAACTATTTAGTTTTGTAATGCACTCAACAAACAGTGTTTTTTCCTTTTCATAATACATAATCGCCTTAGCAAACACCAAAATCTCAATTAGGTGTAATATGACTGGACCCGTTCAAAATAATTGTGATCGAGAGAATAACAAGAATTTATGACATCTAATAGCATGAATTCAATTGGTGTTATTCGTTTGTATCTTCCCATTGTTGTTTGGACTGCAATTGATCAGTCTCTTGTTGATATGTGTGCATCCGGTGACAATTACCTCGATATTGCCTTAATTCATAAGCACTATGAACAAGGATGGAAAGTGGTTAGCAGTGGA